ATGCTGGGTTGTTTTAACCCAAATTTGGGTCAAATATGGACAAACCCAAATGTTGGGTTAAAAATGTCATTTAAAATTTGAACCCAACTTCAACTTTCACTTTCAACTGTGATTTTTTAAATTAAAATTTTAACCCAACATTTGGGTTTGTCCCAAACTTTTTAGAGTGTAAGTTGATTTGAGAGAAGAAAAAACGTGATTATGAATGCGTTTGAAACACATCATGGACATTTTTTTTTACAGTGAACTGTGTGTCGTCTGCATAGCTGTGGTAAGCAATTTGGTTCTCTCTCATTATTTGGCTCATTGGGAGCATTTACAGGTTGAACAGGAGTGGCCCAAGAATTGAGCCTTGAGGCACTCCGCATATCATGGATGTCCAATCAATGACATACTACATCTTAATTATGAGATTAAAAGTCAAATTATGAGAAAAGAAATATGACATACTGTAAATAGTCATAATGAGATAAAAGTTAAAATGATAATTTAGAAATTCAGAGTTATGACATTAAGTCAGAACTGAGATACAAGTCACAATTTCATAAAAAGTGAAAATTGTCATAATTTTGACCTCACTATTTCAACAGTATGTCATAACTTTCTTATATGGCAGAAATGTAATTCCATACTAATAAGTAAAATCATTAAAATATCTGAATTCAAAATAATAGTACCTGACATGCAAATGGAACACTTTACAATAAAGTCCAATGAGCCATATACATTTTTAAAGCATTTATTCATGTACAAATACAACTTTGGATTATAATTACCATTGATTTAAGATGAATAAATGCTGTAAAATATGTATATTATTAGTTCAATATAATATACTACAATAAACTAATGTTAACAAATGAAACCTAAGCATTGCCAAAATCATTATCTATTAATCATGAATGAAAAAAGGTCATAGAAAAGCTCAACCTTGACATTAAGTGCAGTGATTAACAGGGTGAAAAACAACATTTCAAAAAAAACAAAATTTATTTAGGGTCCAGCTATGCACATTGAGATTTCTATAGTGTTTCGGGACATTCATGTATATTTTGGTTTTCCTTGTAAAACTGTGACCAAGACACCAGAGATGACATTCGAGCACTGCAATCACATTTAAAAACTGCATTATTAATGGCTTATCCTATGAAACGTGTCCTTTTCGCCTACAGCTAAACTAATATGGAGCAACCTATTCATCTTGGCACCAGACACAAAGGTAGGTTACAAATCCACGGCAAGCTCGATATTTAATTTCACGTGGTGAATGTAATTACGCCGAAGGAATGATATCGTGCCCTGGATTAAATCAGGGAGTTATTGAGAGTGCCTGAAATTTTAATTCTGTTAGGATGACATTACAGGAGAACCTCCTGAGAAACTATTATATCGTAGCGTGAGAGAATACTGCCACTTTGTGGCACAGAAGAGACATGCACACAGAGCTATATGACTAAATTATAATTAAATACACTACTGTTCAAAGGTTTAGCATCAGTAAAATGTTTGAAAATGATTTTAACTTTCGATTTATCAAAGAATAAACATTAATCAGTGCAACTGTTTTATACATTAATAATAATAATAAATGTTTCTTGAGCAGCAAAGCATCATATTAGAATGATTTCTGAAGAGTCATGTGACACTGGAGGAATAATGCTCAAAATTCAGCTTTTATCACAAGTATAAATCACATTTTAAAATATTTTCAAATTGAAAACTGTTATTTTAAATTGTAAAAATATATTTCAATTGCAAAAACATGAGGCTTATTTAAATAATAATTATCCAACCAGTACTGAGAATATGGGTGGGGGAAAAAAATCGTTACTTAACAAGAAAATGTTATAATGCATAAAAAAATTGCAGTAAGATGTTAAGGTTTACACGTTACTGCATTTACTTAGGAGTAAATTATGGATAATTACAAGTAACCAACACTAAACCAAACCCGGACCGTAACTCTATAGTAAGCACTCAAGTTACATTGTATTTACTAAAATAGGCTTACTGTCACCTCAAAATAAAGTGCAACTAAAATTACTAAAAGAAATTATGTGGACATGTTTAAATGAGGTTTTATGAGATTTGAAATCCATTAAATCCATTTCAGACTTTTAAGTGTAATCATTTTACAAACCATTAATTATGAACCAACACAAAAAAGAAAAGACAGACTCTCCAGTGGGTTTGATGTACTTCTTTTAATTACACATTAAATAAGACTGGTAAGATTAATTGGGGAAAAACAGGATTGGGTTTGTATTTATAAAACCGTGCTGATCTGAGAACAGCTTTTTCCTTCCTAATAATCACATTCACTGAAACGGGAGAGGCAAAAGATGACCTTAGACCAGCACTTGCTCAGACGTTAACACGTGACACTTAATTACAATTAAGCGTCACTCAATTCATTAAACCAAAAAAAAAAAAAAAGCACAATTTACAAAATATTCATCTTTATCACAACCGTACAAAGGCTGTTAAAACAAGGTCCATACATTATATACATGAACCATTTTATCAACATTTGCAATTGGCACACAAACAGACAGAGAACATTTCAGAAATGATTCAAAAAAAAAAAAAAATCTAATGACTTTGCTACTTGCGTTACAGGCTGCTATTAAATGACTTAAAGGGAACAGAAATCACTTAAAATCCTCAACTTTGCATAAGAGCGGACATCCTGATTTACTGAGCATTATTAGTCATACAGTCAAATTATCAGAAAAGCAAAACTAGTGACGGTTAAAGACGCATGGTAAAAGGTTTTAAAGCAAGATTCTGCTTGTGTAATGTAAATCTCCTATAAATGACATCATCTCATGACATCACAAGTATTGCCACACAAAAGTCGTCTTTATATCACTCTCTTTGGTTTGAGTGATTTGCCCTAAAAACACATTTTACCATGGTATACTGGATCCCGGCTGCCACTCTGAATGAAATATAACTGGGCTTGTAGAAGCAACAGAGTAATGATGGTTGATGGCATTAGAAAAACCAACAAGGCATTTGTTTGAATTCGTTTTCCACCTACATTTGCATCCGAATAACTAATACGAAGTGATGTTCGCCAATCTCAAATTAGGGTGCGTTCACACGACAAATAGAAAAGTTGTCAAAACGATCCCCGTTCACATGGATCCACAAATACAACTGAAAACGCTTTATTATTCATGCCAGGCCAGTAGATGGCGATGCCACTTTGTAAAGAAAAAAGACGCACATAGACTGAACACGTTATACGCATGCAAATGACGTCACCGATTTTGTAGTTTACACGGAGACTATAACTGTATCGATTTCAAAAAACAGCCACTGTCGTTGTCCGAATCGCGTAAAGTGTCGTGTAAACGCCCCCCCTTACCTTAGCAAAAAAACATTTCAATGTAATGATTCAGACTTCTAAGGCGCAGTTTGGCTGGGCACAAAGAGGGAAATATTCATACGTAATAAAAATCCTCAGCTTTATGCAGAAGCGAGGCTTTCACTAGTGTAGATCTTTACAGAAAAAAACGTTTCGAATCGTTATTACACTCTCTCTGGAATACTTGATTCTGATTGGCCAACTGCAGCTTTGCATTTCTGTAGTGATTCATAAAAAGCGTAATTAAGCATGTCTTGCTTTGCAGCAATTTCTTTCTTCTCGCGTATTTTTGCATATAGAGCCTAATCACCATTATTATTTTTTTTTGCCACTTTACATCATCCCGAGAAATTACTGTAGATTTTAGATTGAGTTATCACCACCACATGGACACGAAGCCAACTGAGGTTATTTTATTTAAAGGTACAATATGCAGGATTTTTGCAGTAAAATATCCAAAAACCACAAGGCCAATGTTATAGATTTTGTTTAGTTGATTACTTAAAATATCCCAAATGTTTCCAACTATTTGTAAATTGTGAGAAAATTGCGATTTTTAATCAAGGAAACGGGGCGTGTGAGCAGGGGTGAGGAGTCGCCAGTCAATGACGTCACACCGTGTTACCCCCGGTTTCCGCCAGGTTTGACCTCGTACTGCAATAGTAACCATGGCGACAGACGTGGACAACTGGGTCGGTTATGCCCGTTATGCGTGCTCGTCCCTAGCAGGGTTTTGTTCAAACATTATGGACCATAGCAAGCAGACTTTGAGACAAAAAGAGGACTAGAACGAAGATCAACATCTTTCCAGATGCCGAGAGCTCCACGTCCGCGACTAACTTCGACTTGACAGAGATGCGAGTGCTGCATGTTACTTGAGCAAACAGGTGAGCAAATTAATGTATATAAAACTAATCAATGTTATATAGTTAAACATGATGAAAAGTTAGAATACGATCTGTAATGTTAATCTAGCTTAGTCTCATACAGCCAATAAACAACCGAACTAACATTCAACAAACTCAAATGCCGTTTAGTGTGATAGTGAAACTGTTCGAGCAAGTGAAGCTTTATTAATTCGTCTAATAAACGAGTAATTCAGCATGTAGTTCGGTAAAATTAAATGTCCTTATTCCTTTATATCCGCGGGACTCGCGTTGCGTGTGGCGCTGGTATACTTTTAGCAATCGTGCCCTGCTTCATACTAACGTTAGTCATGCTAAAAACATCAATGTATTCACTCATCCATAAAAGATCCATCAGCTTGACGACAAGATCCATAATTCCGCTTAATGCGGAATATACGTCATTAAAATACGCCTTTGTTATTGTAAGAGGTTAGCGACCCCTGGTGGTGAAACAATCTTGCATATTGTACCTTTAAAAAAAAAAAAAAAAAAAGATTTTAAAAATGGTAAAATATTAATAATAGCCAGTTCGGACCAGCTGAGGAAATCCTCTCTACACAACAGTGGTTATTATACAGTATTCAACGCATTACCGTTCCCTGGAAGTTTAAAGAACAAAACGCAGCATGCAAACAGGGAAATAAGGTTAACGGGGTTAAGAGTTCACCATATATACACATTACCATGGCTTCAGAGAGAGGGCGTTAATCCGACTACAATGGAGGTTCACATGCAGGTGGGTGTTTTTTTTTTTTTTTTTTTGGAAGTCTGGGACATCCAAAGGCAGGGTCATACACAGTGATAATGTATCAAAACACCGCCCAGGAAGTGTTGGTCCTCAAAAATAATTCCTCAAGGTTTCAGTTCCTTGTAAAATCAAGCGAATCACATGCAAAGTTCCCGTCTAAACCTCTACACGGCTAGTTCTCGTATAGCACACCAAAAAAAAGAGTGCTTTCAAATCCACACCTTTAAAAAACTACTCTAGAAAAACCAACTGCAAAATAAAAACCAGTTCCGACAGCCCATCCGATTAAAATAAGTCATTCAAGGTGTCTAGGGACCAACACTTAGGGGCAACTGGCACCGAACGAGAAGTAAAGCTTATTTCATTTAAGAAAGCAAGTAGAATATGGATCCATTCTGTATTCTGAAGAGGCTAATAATTTAGTGTAATGTACAAAATGCAGTTGTGGAACTTGTTTTTCTTTCTTTTTGAGTCTATAATGACAGGAAAGGCTTGTTTCACATTAATACACATTTTGTTTTGGATTTCTTCTTTTTCTTCTTGCCCTCTTTGCTCATCTTCTCCTTGTGCTTCCGGATTTCTCGGACTAAAGTATAAAACGCGTCGTCCACGCCCTTCGAAAAAAAAGGGAAAACAAGGACTTCAGATTCTGTGAAGAATTACAGCAAATCTAGTTTCTATGCCCAACTTTTTAGCATCACATTAGACTCAATAAAACTGGTCTGACACCATTCACCAAACACTTTCTGAAAGAATAGTGAAAAAAGTAAAAAAGTTAAGTAATGGTTTTAAATAAGAGAGTGAATCTCAAAGAAACGGTCATATTTCAACCCAAAAATCAAACAAATGATACATATTTTGATTTAACACATGTTGAGAGGATTTTCTTTTTTCGCATTGTGACATTTTTGATAGTCAGGCAAGCACACATTCCCCTTACTTAAATAAATATTACAATTAGCATGAATTATTCAGTGAAATAAGTGAATAATAAAATTGAAATCCCTCTAAATAATTACATTTTAATTTAAATGAACAAAATTCAGGACAAAATACTACAAGTAAATAAATAGAGATAATGTAAATAAGTAAAAATATTTTAAAATAATATTTGAAAAAAGTATTTATCAGTAAATAAATAATGCAAATTAATAAATTCCTACCTATTTTAATTCAATTCAGGACAACAACAAAAAAAAATAATTCTGGAAATGTATTTAATTAGAAAATTTGCAGCATGTGGATTCGTTTTACGATCTCTTTATTAACTTTTTGAAGCATCAAAGCGGTAGTTGAATAGACTGTGAATGGAAGGACAAAAATCAATTTAACTCAAATTTTAGTCTTTAGTCTAAATTAGTCTCAAATTATATAAAAGAGGGATCATTTGGGTTTCGAAAGTGAAAAGACTTATGGGTTTGGAACGACGGGTGCAAGTAATGACAGTAAAACTGACTTGATCCCCTAAAGAAATGGTATAGATGGCATGCATTGACGCCTATACCTCTATAATTTTGGGGTAAAATATGACCCAGCTATTGCTTTGACCGTTTTCGTTAGATTCACCCAAGAACAAGTGAAAAGTGTACAGCAGATGTCGAACCCAACACCTGGACTGCAGACGGGCAGCGCTTCAAACTTACCCCTCTCACATCAAAACACATTTTTTAAGCTTGATGCATTGTGTCGTCTTTTCTTCTTTACAGACTTTTCTTAGCCGGAATTGCCTGATCTCCCGTACCAGAGTATAAAAGGCATCTTCCACTCTCTGCAGTGCAAAACACAACTCCCTTCAGTGTTAAGGAACGCACACAGCCATCATTACGGAGAAGGGTCACAATTGGATTTCAGGAACCCACTGAAACTATAAAACATTTTCTCACATAGGGCTGGCATAATTAGAGGTGCTTTACCCCCTTATTTCTGGAAATTTAAAGGGAATCTGGCATAGTTAAGTTTAGATCATTATTCGATGGCATGCATCTTCACACTATTGTGTAAGAGTTTCTCAATTAGGGGACATTTACGCGACAGATTTCAACTAAAACCAGGACACTGTGCGCTTTTGTTCAGTTATGAAAATAGCATTTGGGGGCCTGAAAAAGCAATCCTTTGACAACGGGTTTCAAATCGCACGTTTAAAAAAAAAAAAAAAAAAAAAAAAACACTTTATCGTCTTCATTTAAACTACAAAAAAAAGCAAATTTGTGAAAACCGTGACATGTGTAATGTGTTAAGTGTTCAGTCTATAGGCAGGAAGTGTTTCTTTACAGTGACATCGCCATCTACTGGCCTGATGTGAATAACAACGTTCAGTCGTTCTCGCAGATCCACGTGAACTGGGATCGTTTGACATTTATGCGTGAAACTTCATAAATGCAAAAGACAAAAAACAAGAGCCACACCTTTAGTACGTTTTAAGTATCGTTGTCGTGTAAATGTACCCTTAGTTGTGTTCTTGAACACCACTGGATTTAAAAAGAAATTTGAAATTAAACAAATTCACTAGCTTGCAGCCGGAGTATTGAAGACAGCAGTATGGTACCAGTGGGCAGCATGTGTGGCTCGCAACAGAGAAAAAAGAAATGAATTCAGAAGCCCTTATTATTCCCCAGCACCACACGGAGTTGTGATTCGAGCACTGCAGAGGGAGGAACAGAGCGTCTGCCCTGATTTTTAAACATGACAGATAGAGCAGATTAATATCCCCAGTTGATTTATAGTGATTGAACCCTTGATCAAACCAATCCAATCTGCATTCTTAAGTCATTAAAGGATTAATTTATCTTAAGGTGAAATCAAACACAGATAAAGGATAATAATGCACGAGAGACCAGGCACAAACCCAGAGCCAGATCAGTTGTGTTCTGTGTTGTGCACCTGATTAATTATTCATAAAGCTAGTCAGAAACTCATGCATGAAGCCAGTCTAAAGCAACAACACGCACTGGACAACTTTCCTACAATTCTACACATTCAAACAGCAATTCTGGCGTGTGAATGCAACAAAGTCCAAGTCACACTTACCTTTATGATAAAAATAAATAAAAGTAATGCTACAGTGATCTACAGTATAGGCCTACATCTAAATGCATTTGAATTTAAGTACATAAAATGTGCTAAAATAATAAAATAAAACTAATTTCTTCCCTTTCACTGTGGGACCCAGACATGTTCTCGAAAGGGAGATTCACTCTATAAGTTTGTCGACTGATTATAAATGAGATTTCAAACCACATTTGACACCAAAATATTTTAACATGGTATTAAAGACAACATGAAATTGCTTACAAAACTCATTTAACTTGCATGATGCATTTCTGAGCAAAATATAGATGGGATGGGTAATTTTATCCATCGGAATTGGATTGAATAGTGCATGTACATGTTGTACTGTCAAATTCATTTTAATTGTGGCCTTAAGGGTTGTAGTAGAGGTGGAGAAAAGAGGAAATTGATTATAGAAAACTTTTTCACGAAACGATCACGGATATTTGTTGATTTTGATTTCATGTTGTCTTCAAAACAGCTTTAAAATCGGTCAAAAAAAAAAAAGTCTTGCAATGGCCAGGTTTACATGCACCGTCAATGCGATTTAGGAAATATTGTAATTAAACTTTACCTCATGTTAACAATATTTGAATCACACTAGTGCTGCACGATTACCGTTAAAAGATCACAATCTCCTAAAAGTCAATGATTCACTATCAAAAACGTTACTAGACAGAAAAAGGTCCATTAAACCTTTGACAAATCATACCAGAACATTGTTAGCCGCGTTGCCACTGTCGTTTACCCAGAGAGCAGTTCTCATGTGTAGGTGTGACTGTGAAAATAAACTGAAGCTCTGGGAGAGAAGTTTATGGTTTGATAAACATTTGTCTACGGTAGCGATCAAAATCTTTTTTGAAAGTAACTTGGCGCTTAAAAAAAAAAAAGATTGTATCGATTACTTTGTTGTGGCATCAAGTAATGGTTAAAAAAATATGCGTCATTAAATCACTCATTCAAATGATTTGCTTAAAATCACTGATTCATCCAGTAATGAAACAATTAAGGAATTGATTAAACATTTTAAATAGTCTGCAATTGACATTTTGTCAGAACCTCTAGTAAATTACATGTTATTTGTTTAGTTTCCTTTTTTTTGTGATTTTCATTTTATCCAAAATCATGCAGCTCTAAATCAATCTGATCCGATCAAGCTCATAATCGTAGCAAACTGTGGCATATGCAGATTTTAATTGCAATTGACACTTTAATCGATGATGCCCGTCATGCACGGCTTCGAAAACATAGCGGTAAAGAAAGCATTACATTTATGGGGTGCTGAAAAAAAAAAAAAAAAAGTAGCAAATCGACAAGGTTGCATGACATGAATATAATGCAATATATTGACCGTCGAAAAAGTCAAAATTAAGACTTTAGGTGGGTCACCCAGAAAAAAAATGAAAAATTCCAGTACGTCCATAGAAATGCATTTAACATTTGTAATAAAGTGGCCAGTAACACCTACTATATGCAGTTTCATTATTTGACTGGAGGAACGCAAATAATGGTGAAATAAAAAAAAAAATCTTAGCGCATGTTTAGGATATTGAAAAATGCATTATTGGTGCACATGTAAACGTACAACACACATCCGCGCATGTTTTCCATACCTGTCTTGTTTTTGCTGAGGTCTCTATGAATGGAATGCCGTAGCTCCGTGCTAAATCCTGAGCCTGCTTGGTGTCCACACTGCGGGAAGGAAGATCACACTTATTCCCCACCAGGACCATCGGGACGTCCTCCGAGTCCTTTACTCGCTTTATCTGCTCTCTGCAGAAGCACACAGAGAATATTACACATCTACAATTCATTAGACTTAGTGAGGCGTGCTAGTGCGCTACAGACCTCAATCTGCACACTACTCCGTTTCTGGCTCACCTGTAGTGGTGAATGTCCTCGAAGGACTTGGTGTTATTGATGGCAAAGACACAAAGAAATCCCTCCCCTGTCCTCATGTACTGGTCCCTCATGGCACTGTACTCCTCCTGACCTGCAGTGTCCAAGATGTCCAGAAGACACGTCTCCCCGTCAATCACCACCTGCTTCCTGTAGGAGTCCTGCACAAGTGACATGATATTGAGCATGTGGAGTGGTATAACCATGCCAAACTCTAATGGTCCTATAATGTCAATTTCATTATTACAAAGAAAATGTCTCTTCAAAACAAACATGCAAAATTACAACATGGACAAAACATACAAACTACACTTTTCGGCCAGAGGTTTAAAAATGACGCTATGGCAGAAAACTGGAAAAGGAAGAAACACAAAAGGCATTCCACCTGGTAACCACCTTTAAAACTAGAATAACCGGATAGCACTAACAGTACTTTTTTTTTTTTTTGTGGATGCAAATTTCCATAAGGGTGAGTTTCACAGTTTTGTGTGGCAGTAGAAAGTGACCGTCTTGACAGAGGTACCCATGGCTCACCTCTATGGTTGGGTCGTATTCATCCACGAAGTGGTTCTGGATGAGTTGGATGGTGAGAGCGCTCTTGCCCACGCCTCCAGCACCCACCACCACAAGCTTATATTCTGTCATTCTTCACCTGCAGCAGAAAAACACATGGTGGAAATCAATGAACAGTTCAAGATGTTGTTTTGGATACATAGCCTAATTTATCTAAACATGAAATAATTGTTTTATTTTGCCAAAATGTCTGTCTTGGTGTAGCTTGCACAAATAATAAACCTGTGCTAGTCGAACAGTCTTCGAATCCATTCAGGTGATTTTCTGATATTTAGAAGAATATCAGTAACCAGGTCTCATTGACTTCCATAGTATATTTTTTTCCTACTATGGAAGTCAATGAGACCAGAAACTGTCTCGTTACTGATATTCTTCTAAATATCAGAAAATCGGCTGAATGGATTCGAAAACGGTAAAACTCAAATGTTCAACTCTGGGGGAGTTGTAAAATGAGCCGATTTCCAAAAAAGTGGAGTATCCCTTTAAACTACAATATCATACAATTAGGCAAGACTAAAGGTTGCCAGGTCTACTCAACTGACCCAACATTCAATACAAGAGGACTTAAACACTTTTGAAAGCTTACCTATACCATATTCATAACTATGGGTAGGTTTACACGACGTACTAAAAACAGACGACAACATTGTCACTGTCAAACCAATCCCCATTCACAATTTCACACGGATATGCGAAAAATGACTCAAAAAAGGCTGTATTATGCATGCCAGGCCAGTAATTGGCAGTGTCACTTTTTCAAGAAACACCCCACGAACACATAATACTCATGTCACCAATTCACCTTTATGGCCCTGTCCCAAATGGCACACTTATATGCACTTTCGATTTTGTCGACTTACGATGGCTACCGCATGCGCGCGTCCATTTAATCCACTAGACCGTAGGGTGTCATTTGTCATTTTAGGTGTCAGAAGGCTGCTTGCGAGCACCCCCTCTGTAGCTGATACGCGCCCTAGATGCGCACTTTTGCTGATCCCGCATCCGCAGTGGACTTCTTCCAGACGTCACGAAAGTGCAGACTCTTCGGAAGATAAAGACTGCGAGTATTTACTTTAGGGTGCCATTTGGGACAGGGCCCATGTAGTTTACATGGAGAAGGCATCGTTTTCAAAAACATGCACTTTGAAACCCATTTTCAAAAGTTTGCGTAGTCAGGTGCCCAAAACATAGTCGTGTAAATGAACGGCCAAAACACATAGAAAGTCTTCATTTTCCATTTGAAAGTGGTGTCGTTTACACAACTCTAAAGCTGAACCAATTACTTCTACAAATACAAGTAAAACAGATTAATCAATGTGCAAATGACTCAACAGAAAACCACTATTCGCAACTTATTATACATATGAGAAGTATAAAATTTGTTAACACCTATTACATGCCTATATTATTACTTATCTTTAACGTTGCCTTGTGCTGTATCATTTTCTTTTTACAATATATTTCTCAATCACTGTGTTTAAACAACAATGAAACCAGTTAAATAATCTTATTTAAATGATTATACCAAGATTTTGAAGTTTAATTACTTTTCGTTACTTTTACTCATAACCGATTAATCTACAGTAAACAGAAACAATTCAAAAGACATAACACTAGCAGAGCCCACAAATGTAACAATAATAAATAAAAAATTAAAATATAGTTATTTATCTATATATTAGGACCATCTCAAATGTTAAAAAGCTTTACATCAACATATTTGTCGTCGTACAAGTTAACTCGATAAAACCGATTACCTGAAACGGACTCGAATAGCACTATTTCATTGCATCATTCGTACATTGTAGTAACGTTAATATATAAAAGTTATAGTGAATAGGTGATTAATAATGCAAATATATTTCAAAACAAAAACAAAACTTAACGAACTATGTCATTTAAAATATCGCGTTTAATTTAAGAAGAGTCGATTCAACAGCCAGTCCACCAAGAACTTGAATCCATTACATTTCAGCTTAAAGCACATAAGCCAAAAAAACAAACAAAAAAACAACAACAAATAAACAGAGTGATTTAGATTTTAAATCAAGTTAAGACAAGTTCAGTGTTAAGAAGTATAACTTAGTTAAGCGCCATATCGCAGGGCCCGAATTTCACTTGGGCGTGATACGACAATAATACAATGGAATAAAATAATATAACGTACACAAAGCTCACATTAAAACAGTTTGCTCCCGTACTTGTATTCAATTAATCACCACGGTAAACATACATGTTAACAGCTTTTATAATAATTTTACCTCTCGGTTTGCAGTAAGTTCCGCGTCTGAAAAGCCTATTGACTCAAGCGTTTATCATGACCTTGCCATAATTGTATTAATGTTATACATTTAAAAACGTGTACATATCCATTGACAATCACGGCGAAGACTTTAAAGGATCGAAACCCAACATTATCACACGTATAACAGATACATTATGCTTTTTCTGGGCGACATGGCCTGCGCTCGGAGGCTGTTATACACAAATATGGGCGGACACACTGTTGCGTCCTGCTAAATCATCACTTACCCCAAAATATCAAAGATTTTCAGCTGTTTAAGGTTATTTTCAGTAGGTGGAAGCGGTTAAAATGACACGTATTGAGCAGTCGAGCAACCTTTTCCGAGCACCAGCATGCATCTTGCATTATAGTAGACGAAACATCTGTAGATACAAATAATCCAGATCGGTGTCCTTTCAGTGAGAGGTTGTGTAGGGCTTGATCAATAACTAGCCAATAATCAACACTGGCGATTCCAGTCTAAATATGGCTATACGACGGACTATAATGCACTTTAATTTTAGTGTAATAGCACACGAGAATGTGCTACCACATATTCGATACAAGGCAATAACCGGCTTTTGACAACAAGCAGGAGTAGGGCAGTATTGCTATGGACTGGCTTGGTGTTTATATAGGCCCTAAATATAACCGGAACGTGTACGTGCGTACGTCAGCGCGTATCTGTATTCTTATTGGATACATCACTTGTCAGTCAAAATTAGGTCATTTGCATACGGTGTGCAAGAGCCAATCGTCTATGATTATCGAATAATACAAATTACCCGCCTATTGTTTGACTCGATGATTCATTCTATATTTTTTTCTTATTCAATAACTTTAATTAAAAAAAAATAAAAAATACAGTCCACTGATAGACAAAATTGGAAAACAAAACTCAAAGTGTAGAATATGGGGGAAAATCCAACAACAAAACACGTTTTATAGCCATGTATATAATGCTCACTTCTTTTATAATGAAAAAAAAATGCGAAAGGCAAAATATTGGTATATTTACAGCTTACAAAGAAGTATTTTAGTTCACAGCAATACGATTTAACAACATAATTGAAATATCATTTTGTAACCAATAACTATGCCTAACACATAAAAAAATCAGTAAAACATCATGATTCATGAACAACAAAGACATTAATGTATTTCAAAACATTTAAATAAATAACGTCAAAACTTTGGAAAAAAGCAGGAATTTATATTTTAGGTGCAACGATTAAAAACACAAAAGACACAAGGGGTCAGTATATCCATGGGTTTGTTTGTATAAAGTTGTTCTAGCTGTATCAAACGTTTAATTAGCTTTAGTTTTATTATTCTGCTGTAAACTATTACTATTATCATAACTTATTTATTATTTAAATGCCAGTCACATTACAAACAATGAACATGACAGTTTAAAATATTGAACAAATTCAGACAAGTAGAAAAAGTGAATATGCAACATGAGATACATATATACATACGTAAAACGTGAACGTAAAATAAATTAAAGTAAATAATAATAATCATAATAATAATAACATCAGAAAAAGAAAAAGCTGTAAATTATTATTCAAACTGCTTCTGAAATTCATTTAAGCTAAAGTAAGATTCATTGTTCTGTTTTGTGTAATTGCACAAGTAAAAAGGTAATTAGAGCTTATTATAGCATTGTATATGATGGTATGATGTTGTTTAGCACCCTTTTTCTCTTTTGTTTAATCTTGTTCTTGTCCTCTGGCACTGTTTTTTTTTTTTTTTAAATTTATTTATTTTTTTACTTTTGTTCATTTTATTTTACTTTGAATGATTGTGTGTCATTGTATTGTTCTGGTTCATGACATTAATAATAAAAAGTATTATTGTTTCTATTAATAAATACGAAAAAAAGAAAGTCGTTGACGTCATTGTCACGTGGTGAAATTGACTTTTCCCAGCGCTGCAGAATGGCCCAATCACCGCGTGATTAAACAGAGGTTCCATAGGTTGTCTACTATTTCTAATTTCGTTTGGAATCCTTGGCATTTAAATTACAATACTTCAGTAGGCAAATAAATACAATTAAACAAAAAAAGTTGAAACGAAATCAGACCGTCGGACGTTAGCAGTCCACTGGTCTCTTGATGAAGAGCTGCCGCCCACCAGTATTCACACAAGTCCCACCTCCTGCGACAGAATGAGCCAATAGGAGCCTCTCAAAAGCTGCCTCTGATTGGACAGATAATGGGACATTCGCAAGACGTACCAATCATAGCAAACAAAGATCAAACTGAGGGCGGGACTTGAGAAAATACGGCGAGTGAGATCATATGGTCGTGTTTTCCACATACTAGCACGGATGGAGCTGCAGCGCAGCGAGGAAACTTTTTCCTGTGGGGCGGCGATCCCAACGGATGAAATCCTCTCTTTTCTCAGATTTTTGCGCTGTGAACAAAGACAAAATACAAGAGCTTTTCATTTATATTTAGCGAGAAGAGCTTTACATTAAGACTTAACACAGGACAAAAACCTGAACATTTTAGTGTCCTTTAAATTGTTGCACAAACTTTGGTCAATGTAACATCGTCTCGGACAAAAAGTGGATAAATATTTTTCTACATTTAGGCAAAAAAAGGTAAGAATATTTCGCATGCGGAACAATTTAATATTAATAACTGTAAATGAAAATACAGTAGTTATAGCCTAGTTTGAGGTCTGTCCATCATGCGCATTCAGCATCACAACCTTAAATGTTTACAGTGTACAATGAAGTCTTGAATCTGATCTCAAGTTTTATCAGCGGATTATGGTTTGTATTGTAAATTCGTTATTTAACTAAAAACAGTATTAAAACAGCACGTCTTTAGTATTCTGTATTCAAAAGCATCATATCAATTAAAAGAGGTAGTTCACTTTAAATAAAACTTTTGCTGATAATTTACTCACCCCCATGTCATCCAAGATGTCCATGTCTTTCTTTCTTCAGTCGAAAAAGAAATTAAGGTTTTTGATGAAAACATTCCAGGGTTTTTCTCCATATAATGGACTTTACTGGTAACCAAACAGTTCAAGGTCCAAAAGACAGTTTCAGTGCAAACTGCAAACTGTTCAAAAGGCTTTAAACGATTCAGATGATGTAAATGTTTTTTTTTTTTTTTTTAATAATCAGTCTGCTTCAGAACATCAATATTTGTTGGAATCTTCATCATCTTGTTTATTTGACAATATTATTTCTGGACCAAATCAGCCTATAATCTAGCTAATTAAACATGTAATATCCTTTAAATTTGTACAGATTAATTAGTATGCAAATTGAAGGTTTAATGGTTCATTCATCATTTGGTTGTCTTTTATATCGACCGCAAAATGCTCATTCAGTTTCTTGAATGCTCTTTTTATGTTTCCCTCAAGTATGCAAATGCTTCACAGTCTGTAACTACATTATTAAGAAGTGGTACGATGAGAGATGATTAATAAACCACTTAGTCACGTTGACACTTCATCCAGTACCCCGTAACTCAGTTTCTGGCTGGTCCTTCAAAGCTAGCCCGCTGATCACAAGCATGGCAAAAGAACAAAGGCAGTATTATATCCAGCTAAACGTGCCATCCAGATGTTAGCAATTCTGCCAGTCTCGACGTCCTAGCTGTGGGTGCAGAGGGGATATTCTCAAGTTTATTAAAGCACAGTCTCAGCTGAGACTCAACAAAACTCCACTGGTTTGTAGTTAAATACCACAGGAGGTGGACTCTTCTTGCCATCTAACGTCCGTAGAGAAGCACTTTGTTTAAAACCTGGCATGGTTTATTCCCTTCGAAAGCTTTGTTTTCCTGTTGCCCTCCATGAAAGCACCTCATTGTTTTTACTCTTAACAGGCTAAATGTGCCAAACTACATGAAGGAATCAAGCATAGCGAAGTATATTTTAGGACACCCAAGGGATCTAGGAGCAAGATTTGGAGATTTCACTGTGAATTCACCCACTTTCTTCTAAAGCCCTCAGGTTATTGTTTTACTGGGGTGGGGAAAAGGTTTGTTTTTCTTCCTCCGTCGTCCCAGATGGGAGATTCGGTGAGGACACAGTTCTCCTCTGTTTGGCTGATGGGAGGTCTTTCAAGGTTCAGTTTGATTGTGTCGTTTCTCTACTTTGCTTTTGTTTTTGCACCTTCATTTTCCCTCGGGAAGCAACAAGATTCAAAACACGAGTTTAAATATGTGTCCATACTCTGTTGTAGCTCCTATAAGAGTACTATACCTTTAGTATCAAAACATGTAGTTAAAATTTACATAACTTATGAACATAACTTTCATATGTTTGATTGGAGAGAGGGAACTAGAAACGTCTTATCTCGTTCGGTGGCCAGCTGTGTGGAATGTGTAACCTCAGTCTTATCAGTTTCCATGGTGTCAAATCAAGGCCCAAGTCTTCGGATAACCGCCTGCATGCTTTCAGTCCTCCACAATGGCGTAGTCACTTGCTAATCTTTCTTGCAACTTCACTACACAGGATTAGATGCTTAAAGGGATTGTTCACCCACAAAAAGAAAAGGTGTCGTTGTTATAGAGGTCAATTTGCACATTTTGATATCACATCTTGTACTGACCACCTCGGTTCCCTTGTGATTTTGGCTAATTTAGTCCAACATATATGCAGCAGACGTGAAGTCATCCGTTAACTGGGCTTCCTTGCCTCAGTGATCGCTCCTGGAAAAATGTCAAAATACAGCACTTTTACATTAGCAGGAAAAGAATACAAAACGGCCCCACAATGCATCTGCCGATTGGCTGCAGGACTCCATCTGTTGTCGTGGACGCTAAAGGGTAGTAAAAATGAAGGACAAAGTACTTATCTCCTCACCGAAGGACAAAATGGAAGGAAAATGATATGCAGCATGCAAGAAATGTCGTATCTTTGACATTTGTTGAGTAGCTCACTCTTGAATAGTGATGAAGAAATGGCAAATGCTACATGACAATTCCAAGTGGGAAATTTTTGTATAAATTTATGGCCCAATTTAAAATGTGATTTGAATGTCCTCGCATTTGGCAGCCTGGATTCTGAACTATTCCAAGCCCTGTATAAATTAAAAATTTGGCAAGAACCCCAAGGCTCCAGTTGTAATAAACCATATTTTTTCCATTTTGGCTCAGACAGAAGAGATCTTATGGGGGTTCCACCGCACCATATGTCTCTTCACTAAACCAGAGACATTCAATGAACTGCCTCTTTTACTTGAGAAGACACTTTATTTGTTGGGTAGTGCATATATAATATTGGCTTGATTATTTTAATGCAAAGGAACACAAGATTATTATATCTTGTATGTAAATGATAGGGTTGCTGCAGCAGAAATGGTAGAGCATGGCGATGGATACCACACGTAGTGATAAAATGTATATTGATGATAAAAACTGTAAGCTAAAAGCAGTTTTGTTTTTTAATCTCAAGCTAAATTAGCTATTTTTAAAGGGATAATCCACTTTTTTTTGGAAATAGGCTCATTTTACAACTCCCTCAGAGTTAACCAGTTGAGTTTTACCATTTTCCATTTAGAGTAACCAGACAGTTTCTGGTCTCATTGACTTCCATAGTAGGAAAAAATATATAAGTCAATGGGACCAGAAATTGTCTGGTTACTGATATTCTTA